CCGGACCTCAAGGACCAAGTCAAGAAACGGCTAGCGGCTTGTGAACTCCAGCTTGGGAAGCTCCCAAAACCACTTACTGTGGACCCAACCCACGAAATCCTCGCCAGGATCACCGCGTTTTCTGCCGAGCTGCGTGCCGCTGTTAGCGGGGAAGTGGATAAGAAGTTTGTTCAGGATAATCGTGCTTCATACGGCGTCTTCAAGGGCGATATCCGAGCGACGGCCCCCGACTTTCGGCCTTACTTAAATGGCACCCAACATGCTCGACCTTCGACCCCGGGCGGTAGGTCGGATGAGGCACTTGAGGATGGGCGCGATCATCTGCAACGGTACGAGACTCTGGACCTCGCGGATGTCCGTCAAGTTATCAAAGAGTGAGCATGGCCATTTTCTCAGCTAACTGTGTGGCTCAATCTCGTTACAGAGCAACCGGATGGGAGCTCCCGCATCACGTCCCCTATGACGCGCAGCTTACGTTGATGAAGAGATTTATTGCTCTCTGGGAAGCTCCCGCCCAAGAATGCTTCGAGACCGTATTTGCCACGCTCTCAGAGTTTATGAATGCTTTGGTTCGGAAGCACTTTGAGCGTTTCAAATCTCTTGATCTTTTAATGAGGTGAGTTCAGATTTTCTGGTGGATTATGTTGTCACTTCAAGTGTTCGCGTCAAGATCCCTTGTCGCGGGTCATTTGAACCATTGCAAGGAACGAGCCTCCCAGTCTCTCCGGGAGGCTCTTGCCTTGGAAGAAAAACCCGTGTTCACTCAGAACACCCATTACCTTTCCGAAACCCGCGTCAAGTGGTTCAACCATTACAACAATTGCTACCGCATGCAGTACTATCCGAATCCTGACCCCTCCCCGTTCGAGGCGGAGCTTCAGGTGATGGCGCAAGTACGAGCATACTTTCAGGTTTCATATAAGGTATACCAGGTAATTCCATCTCTGGATCATAGCTAATTGGTGAGCTATTTAGAGAATCATCGACCACATCCCCCTCACTATCGAGAGGTCCTTGAATCGGTCAATTGCCGATTCCCTCCAGGCGGATCTCATCCGGGACGTTGGAATTGGAGAAGCAGACTCGTTTGGGCGGCTGAAGGAGCTTGTGAGCGAGGACCCCGCTCTAGTCACGCGGCGCCAACAGCTTGAGGGCATGAAGAGGCGTTTGGTCGATATTCAACAGAAGTTGAATAACTTTCTGGTTTGATTTGGGATAACGATAGTTCTCAATGTGATCGATGTCCACACTTACTAGCAAACTATGTAAGCTGTAAATTTCTGACTTCCGACGCTTACGAAACACTCCCCGCCTAACTATTGCTATCGTCCTGCGGCTCAGGAGAGCTCGTTGATTCAATCCAACCGTACAAACCTCAGTGCCACATCTGCGAGCATGTATCGGCGAGATTGACGCTGGTCAATAAACGCCTGCTAAATTCATCAGACAAACAGCACTTGTAGCATCTGATGCCTGCTCCAAACAGAAAAAATCGTTGTCGATTGATCCTGGTGCTAACCATGGGTATCGTAGTCTGCATTGGAGGTGTCGAATGCACAATCATTCTTCCTGCCTCGGGCGGCGAAGGCTATTGGACCACCAGCACCTCGCATGCCAGCAGCGGACTGATCGCGGAATTCCTCGTTGCCATTTTGATGGAACCTGAGATGTACCGTCAGTGGGGACCACCACGTTGACGTATGCTCTCTGAAAACGTGGGCATAACTCGACGTGTGGCGGCTATCCCCCATGCGGCGATCTTCACCTTCTTTATCTGGTGGATACTAGCAGAAGTTCGTGCACGCTTTACACTTATTACCCCAATTCGCTTGCCTCGCGGTCCTTGTGAGGCCTGGCGCTAGGTACCAATCTCAAAGTCCCTGGCCCTTTACCAGTTACCCCATCGTCCCTTCAATCAACTCTCATACCGTGACCACCATGAACGGTCGCTTTCGAAGCAAATCCAAGAAGCGAAATCCCTTAGAAGCACCAAGTAGTGATACATTGCCTCAGATCCCCGATGGATCCACCGTTGGCGACGCAAACCTTTCGGATACGGATTACGCTCGAAAACGGAAGCAGCTCTTGGAACTCACCAAAGAGCTTCGTGCTATGGGGTGAGGTGCTTACTTCACCTAACTTGTTGTCAACTGAACGACGAATGGTCATCAGCGCCGAAACCCTCATTGCCCTTCCTCGTATTGCCGTTATTGGCGGACAATCCGGTACGTGTCCTACTCTCTCTAGTTTCTGTCGCTAAATTTGAATTATCATCTCAGCCGGTAAGAGTTCTCTTGTGGAAGCCGTCAGCGGCGTGCGTCCTCAACCCCTTCATGTCTGTTGCCGATGTTTACCACTCCTCTAATTAGATCAATGTTCCTCGGGATAGCGGTACTTGTACCAGGTAGGTTCCCTGCACTGTGATTTTGCTCTGATAGTATGACTCTGATCCGCCTTAGATGTCCGACGGAATGTACCATGTCAAGCGATGCTCAGACGTGGTCCTGCCAGATTTCTCTTCGCTTCGAACACGACGAGCACGCTCGTGGAGCATCTCTCGTCAGCAAAGAAGCAATTTCGTTCGGCCCCCCTATTACCTCCAAAAGCGAGGTCGAGATCAGACTCCGCCAGGCGCAGGCGGCGATTCTGAGTGGAAATCCTTCCTATTCCGCCTTCGCCCAGATGTCCGCCGAACACCTTCGAGAGTTAATAAAATCGGATCGGGATGTGGTGAAGTTTTCCAGAAACATCATTGTGGTGGATATTTACGATCCTGATGCCACCGAATTGTCATTCGTGGATCTTCCCGGTAAGCTTCGTTAATACTGCTTACAATAACACGACCTCTCATTCAAGCGCAGGACTTATCCAATATGAAAGCGAAGATATGATTAGCCGGGTGCGAGGTCTCGTCGAGTCATACATTAGCGAGGAGCGGACCATCATCCTCGTCACAATTCCCGCGAGCGGTAAGCCTCCTCCACGGGGTCACTTTCGCGCTCTAAATATGCTTTCAATTAGACGATCTCCAGAACCAGCAAGCGTTCAGTCTTGCTGAAGCAGCTGATCCCGACGGTGCACGCACCATTGGTAACGTATAATTTGCCTATATCTTATGTGTCCCCTTTAGCGGCTCAACCTGTCGTAGGTGTTTTGACCAAATCCGATACGTTGACGGCGGGGGCGACAGGCGCACGTGAGTCATGGAAGAACGTCCTGGAAGGGAAGAAAGATCAACTCAAACATGGCTACTACTGCGTTCGCCTATCCGACGACGCCGAGCGAGCCCGAAATGTTTCCAGGTCCGAAGCACAGCAGATCGCCGCACAGTTCTTCAATCAAGTTGCTCCTTGGAGCGAAGTTGAGGACCGCACCAGATTCGGAATCCCAAGTTTTGTTTCGAATATCAGTAAACTTCTGATGGACGTCATCGAAAAAGCGTAGGTCATTCTACCCCCACTTAACTTCCACCACTCACTGCTGAGTTATTACCAGCCTTCCACAGTTGAGAGTTGAAGTTACCAAACGCCTGGCCAGCTGCGAGCGCCATATGACCCAGCTCCCGAAACCCCTTACCACTGACCCAACCAACGAGGTTCTTGCCCGGGTCACAGCATTCTCGTCCGAATTACGCAGTGCCGTGAACGGGGAGGGGAATAATAAGGGATTTGTCCAGCAAAATCGAGCTTCGTATCTTCGCTTCAAAGGAGACATTCGGGGTACAGCACCTGACTTTAGGCCATTTGCCAACTACTCTCAATATGGGCGACCGCTCACTCCTGACGGAAGTCGCGATGGGGCGCCCCAAGTCGGGCGTGAGCATGTCCAGAGATACAAGACTATGGACCTTGAGGATGTCCGACAAGTTATCAAAGAGTTCGTAACTGGCATCTTCTTCGTCGCGATTTGATGGCTAATCTTTATGAAAGGTCAACGGGATGGGAGCTCCCCCATCACGTTCCATACGATGCCCAACTTACCCTGATGAAGAAGTTCATCGCCCTATGGCAGGCCCCCGCCGAGGAGTGTTTCGAGTCGGTATTTGCTACGCTCGCAGGGCTCGTGGATACTTTGGTCCATAAACACTTCGAGCGTTTCAAACATCTTGAGGCCTCAATGAGGTGCGTACTGAACTCCCTGTGATTGTCGGCTACTCAGCTGTCAGCATCAAGATCACTTGTTGCGGGACATTTGAGTAATTGCAAGGGACAAGCCTTCCAATCCCTCCACGACGCCTTGGGTCTGGAGGAGCATCCTATTTTTACCCAGAACACACACTATCTTGAGTCCACACGCCTGAAGTGGCTCGCCCATTACAAAAATGTGAAGAATTCCCCATCACAATACACTAGGTGGGACAATGCTATGGAGAGCCCGGATGACGAATACAATGCATACGCTGACTACGCAGAGCCTACGCCGGCCCCTAGAGCAATCAAGGTGATCCCACCAGAGACCTTTACACCAGAACTGCAGGTGATGGCGGAAGTACGCGCCTATTTCCAGGTTTCATACAAGGTACTTATACCGGTGAAAATATTCCTAGAGGAACATATCACTAATACCAGTTCCCTCGTAGCGTGTTATTGACCACATTCCTCTCACCATTGAGAGATCGCTAAATCGAACGATCGCCGATTCTTTGCAGGCCAGTGTCATCCGTGACATTGGGATTGGAAGCGCGGATGCGGCCGAGAGGATGAAAGTGCTTGTTTCTGAAGACCCTGCCCTCGAATTGCAGCGAGAACAGCTCAGGATCGAGAAGAATCGTCTCGTCGAAATTCAGCGGAAGTTGGGTACCTTCTGGGTCTGATGGTTCAGATAGCGAAACGGCACTTCCATGAGCAAATCTTGTACATCCTTGCTTTTAGAATCCACTTTGGCCCACGTACGAGTTTTTTTAATGGAGAATTGGCGGAGGAGTGTGCTTGTGTCGAGAGCGACATTTGCCTAAGTGTTGGAGGAAAATTTGAGAGAGGACGGAAAAATGAAGCACAAGTTGCCGCCTAGCCGGATCGAACGACTGGTCTTTGCATCGCCGTAAAGGATTACGTACAAGTGCAACGCTTTACCACTTAGCCAAGGCGGCGGTACCAATCTGAGTGCTCTGCAACCCATGTGCTGCGAGGTAGGACTCGAGGCACCTGCGCTAGACTTTGAACTCACTTTCGAGCCTTCAGATCTTCAGACGTCCGCGTCGCCAATCGCGGAACTCGCAACACCATGGCGCAGCGAACAGGGAAAGTAAGGTTGGGTCGGGTTGCACAGTCGTCGTGCAATGATAACTCCCGTGCTTCCTCTGCCCTACTATGTTCGATCAGTACGAGCAAGTCATGTACAGCAAATTGGTGGGCTCACACTAGCTGTTTGGATGGCTTTCGAGAAAGCGCCGTGAGGTCTGGCTTTTGACTACAAGCAGAGCCGGATTGAAGTACATACCACAGGTCCCCACGGAAGGATACAATGGCTAAGGACGGGAGAGGTAAGCCAGACCTCCGTTCGATGAGGTCAGCCCAACCGCAGGCTCGTTGTCCTTAAGGGACTAGGACTCCTCCGATTTTGCTGCCATTGACAATCAGAACTGCGAGGCGAAGCATGGACCCAGCAGCAAACGTTGCAATCCACTCATGGGTCGCAATGTGGACTTCGCATCATAGAAGTCGATATTGAAGAGCGTTACCAGACGTGGGATTGTGTCACGGTGTGACATGTGACCTCTAGTAACCTTCCCACCTCTTCCCACCCATTTCTGGCGATCCGGACCTCGAAGCTTCATCATGTCCTTGCTTCACGCTGTTACTGACGTTGACACCAACAAGTTGTTTCGATGTCCTTTTCTTGTTCGGCCAAAGCCTGCCTTACGGCGTCCGCCGTGGCTTTCATCAATAACGTCGAGACTGGAGTAATCAGGTGGTACTAGACTTGTCACAGGGCTGGACTTCGCATTCGTGGCGGAGTAATCTGACTGAGCTCTCCAACACCTTCCCACCTCAATATAACAGACTTGGCTTCTTGGTCAAGGTCTTGACCACCGTGGATGTTCTCAGTCAGATATTGTCTTCTTGCAAGCCAAATCCAGAGCAGCTCTGTGTTGAAAGGGGTGGTCGATTGTTGGTCGATTGCTAATTTGCTATAAGTAACGGTAAGTAATTGATTCGGAATGCTCACCTCTCAATACAAATTCAACACCTGATCTCGAACTCGGTTCGAGTACAGTTCCAGACAATGCGGCTGAATATTCCTGTCCTATCTGCCGGACCAGTATTAAAACCCATGACCAGATGAGGACCTTTCAAGCTCAAACCCCCCAGCCCTCTGCCAATCAACCCAGCCTCCCTTCGTCGTCCTTGACCCATCGATCCTCGAATCATGTCTATCCTTGCACGCTCATCAGCTCTCGTCCGCCCCGCAACACGACCATTCGTTCGCCATGCGTCCCATCAGACTCCCAAGAACTTGCATGTTGCGGTGCGCGTCCTCTGTCCCATATTGGCCGACGTAGTAGACTGACAAGACTATTGGCCTTTCCTTAGGACTTCCCTTTCAAGTACTCCCACCGTAAAGCGTTCGCTGCTAAGTTCGTCGCGTACTGTGGTGTCGGGTTCGCTGTCCCTTTCATTGCTGGGATCTGGCAACTGTACGTTTCCTATCACCATCTCCGTCGGGTTATCCACTGACGCTCCCATCTCTTCACGCAGGAGCAAAGGAGCTGGTTCACCATGAGTACCTCCATTAGTCGTTGGGTTTGGCTCCATGGTTGCTGGGTTTTGGGTTGCCCCGGTCACAAATGGCACGTCGTATAAATCCACCCCTTCATCGATACAACCTGCATCGCAAATGTATCAGTATCTGTACAGACTGTTGATTTATTGGATTGAATACACGAACGTATACCATTGAACGGCCGTCAGCCTCGTGTTTATCATGTATGTGAATTGCGTTGATCGTCGAAACATGAGAGTTTCCACGGTCGATGAGGTGACGACGAAGATTTCCACACCCCTGCCTAGACTTCGAACGACATCTCTTATGTACACGGAAGTTGATAGCAATCCTTTCGTATAGATTCGAGCCCCTACTTCCATTGTTGACCGCATCCAGACTCTTCTCTCGAACTCTCATCATCGAATTCAACCTCCACCCTTGCCACCACCTCTTCGCAGCTCCTTCAAATCATCCACCATGCTTGTCAGACTTTGAATCCTCAGCTGATCCTCCTGCTCTTTAGTCCTTACTTATCTCCCCACTTTCTGTGACTGGAAGTCTCAAGGAAGTCCTCTTCGATGGAGGGGCTACTTCCGCGATTTACCCTCTTATTAGGCTATTAGCTGCCAAAACGAGCCAGGATGTTGACAAGAGCAAACCAGTGCCATACAGTTGCGCAGTGTCGCGCCTCACGTTGTTCACGCTGGTATCACATGACTGAGTCGTATTGGGCAAGAAGGACCTTCTTCTCGGGCAACCTGCTGTTTATCGATGCAACGACTCCCCTGACAAGCGACGAGCACTCCTTGTCTGTTGTACATCGCACTCTCGGAGATACCAACACTATCCTCCGTCGATCCATTTTCTGTCTCCTTACTTCGTACCTGGTGTCGCTATGCGCTTCGGATTGACGATTCTTTTCCTTGTTTCGACTTTGTCGTGAGTCGAATACTTTGCCACTAAAGGAAGCCGTCGTAGCATAGATTGCACTGACCGTCCCTGGAACCTCCTCAAGAGTGGTGGATGCATGCCATTCGGCGTGCGGTCAACAGCTTGACGGCCTTGCGGAGAAAGACAGGGGACATTCCACCGATTCCTACAAGTTTGCGTCCCTCGGCTACTCCTCCATTCACTCGCCTTCACCCCCTTTCTCTCGACCAATTATTTCGACCCCACTGGAATCTTGAAGATGACCGGAGCTAGCCTCTTGTCCTGGGGTATCTTGACGATTCTGCTTGTTCTGTCTTATCTTCCTGGCGGCGCTCTGGGAGATACGTATGGCTTGACCGACAGTATCTCTGGATCTAGTTTCCTGAGTACCTTCTCCCATGAGGCTATCCCTGACCCGACACATGGACGAGTGTCAGTCTTAGAAACCATTATTCATCGAGGAGTTGTATTGACTAATGACTAGGAAATATGTGGACCAAGCGACGGCGCAACGTCTGAACTTGACTTATGCTTCCGGAAAGCACTTCATCATTCGTGCCGATCATACTACCGTCCTTGACCCGAATGGAGCTGGACGGGACTCAGTTAGGTTACAGTCTCTTACCCAATACAACACACACGTCGCCGTGTCAGTTCCCTGGTCGCTCTGAATTTCCGGATCGTTGATAGTTCAGTAGGTTTAACATCAATCATATGCCTCAAGGCTGTGGGTGAGTGTTCTCAGTCATACGAGTCATACGCATCCGATCCTATTGCGAATGAAGGACATGGCCTGCAGTTTGGGAAGTGGGGGCTAACTGGCCCAATGGTGTTAGTTTGTTTTCGGCCCTTGTTTTACATTCGTTCGTCTTTTGTTGATATCGAAAATAGGGAGAGATCGACATCCTTGAAGGTGTTAACGACGTCTCGCCCAACCAGGTTACTCTACATACGGCAGCGGGTATGCCTTGGATCGGTCCCTATTGTGAGACGTTCTTGATCGTCTTCCCTATCATAGGCTGCTCTGTACCTGCCCAAAGATTCATGACCGGGTATGACTTGACCATGTTTCATCCGAGTCAAAACTCACCCTTGTGCCTCAGGACATCCACGGGAACCGACTGCAACGTCGCCACGACCGGTAACGCAGGCTGTGGGGTCAAGGTGAACGACAATCGCAGTTATGGATCGGCTTTCAACAGTAATGGCGGTGGCTGGTGCGAAACGTGCTGATCCAATGCTTCTACCCTGCGCTCAACCGTTGGACGCTCTAGGTACGCCATTGAGAAGACAGACGATTTTGTCAAGATCTGGTTTTGGCCGAGAAATGGTGGAGGTGTGCCCGGGGAAGTGAGCAGCGGCAGTGATAGCATTGATACGACGAACTGGGTAAGTTCGTTCTGTGTCTGGTCACTTCTACGGCGCATCATGTATACTTATCTCGACCGGCATCGTTAGGGCACCCCATCTGCGTACTTCCCGAATGCGCAATGCAATGTGGCGTCTCACTTCTCTCCACAGAACATCATTATCAACCTCACGTTCTGTGAGTTCTCCTTGTTCGAGGATGAATTGACGTCCGATTGGGTGGCTGATCGCGGTATCGTCACAGGTGGTGATTGGGCTGGCTCGGCTTACAGCGGGAGTGGGTGCCCTGGGAGTTGTGTTGGTGGGTCCAGAGCTGTTTTCTCGAGTGCCTCCAATATGGACTGACGACGTTTATTGTTGCAGATTATGTCAATAACAATCCCTCAGCATTCAAGAATGCATATTTTGACTTTGCGTGGTTGAAGATCTATCAATGACGGCGAAAGGGATGGGCTGGAGGGTTCGCCATTTTTCATGACGTGACTGTGTATTGGAAGTGATTATATGTGCTGAGGATGTATGTAATTGTCGTTAGTCATGGAACTCCAGAAATCTCGTTGCCGATCAGCAGTCGCGGAGCACGACCAGGACACCCTCATCCACGCACAGAGGACCATACCCACACTTCATTCTCATGGACGCAGGCGTGGAAGCAATCGTTGATCGGATCCCTGCAGATTGGGATCCCAATGTTCTTGAACTGGCCCAACTTCGACACAATGTCTGTGCCGGTTACAAAGTCGAAGCTAATATCCAACAGACCATCAGCCGTGCCTTGCTACTGACGCGAGCGCGTCCTTTTGCCCGAGTGCTTCAGGACGCTGAGGGTGGAAGTGCGGAAGATTGTCTGGATCTGGGTCAGAGGTAAGTAGATAAAGTACACTGGTGCTCCTTCTCTGATATGGTGTATCTCAATCCGTGGGCTCTCTTTCTTCGGGTGGACTTTTATCCAGGCTGTTCGTGGGATACGGAGCGCCAAAAGACCAAGATACGGCACTCGAATACTGGAGACGTATTGTTGATCCTACACACCCCCGATACCTTTCCGCTGGAGTATCGCGCTCATCACGCGCTCGGGCGCACTGT